GGTCACATTTATTGCAGCAGGTATAGTGTTAATTCTGAAGCAAAAACGAAAGTTGAGCAGATCTGGCAGACCCTCAGTGGAAGGGTTACTGGACCCGAAAGGTGAACTCTGATTTCTCATCACAGATGCTGCCAGACCTGCTGAGCATTTCCAGCAACTTCTGTTTTTGTTTCTGATTTACAGAGTACTCAGTTCTTTTCTGTTTTGATTTCATAGTGTTCATTCTGTTTTACTGAACAAGTGTACAACCAAAAACAATGGCAAAATGGTGATAACTTTATAAAAGCTACCCGAAAGATCCAGTGATTTCTGGTGCGTGAATTTCTCCTTCCCAATATTACTTTGATTCCAGCATCAGTTCTTGTTATCACATAGTCCAGCATTACACACAAGCCATTGTTAGCCACTGACAGTCCCATTATCAGCTAATCACCCTCCTAGCCAGATTGTTATCCACTCCTTTGTCTGTCCGACAGTTCTTCTCTTTATTTATGCTCGATCCCCAACTATCATTTACTCCTTAGCCCATCCCCCAACCTATCTTCTCCATATAAACCAACATTTTCATAGCTACCATCAGTTCTGAGGAAGGGTCATTCAACCTGAAAAGTTAACTAAGATTTCTTTCTACAGCTGCTGCCAGACCTGCTGAGCTTTTCCAACAATTTCTATTTTTGTTTCTGATTTACAGCATCCACAGTTCTTTCAGTCTTTAATCTGTTCATGGAGCTCTTCTGCATCCAGGATCAATGATGTCAGCAGGCATGCTAAGCTGTCAAGCATATTTGAACAATTCTCAGAGACAGCAAAACTATAAGTAAAAACACTAATACCTTCTCCTTTTAATCATTTTACCGAAAGCAAAGTAAAAATTAACACATACAATGATGACAAGGTCTGACAATTTCATAACAAAATCAATGTTTTAACCTGTTTAACATGTTAACATCTTACCTCTCGAATGACCGTATGTGGTTCTGTAACCTTTAGAAGAGAACAAAAGTCATTTATTACCTTAATAAAGTTATTATTTACTAATATTTGTATTTACAAATATTTCCTAATTATTTTGTGTTTTTACAATGCTCACCTTTCGAATAAATGTTTGTGGTTCAGAAACCTTGGGAAGAGGAAGAACGTCTTTGATTAGCTAAATAAAAAGTGTCATGTTTACTTTAGTAAAATGGAGTATGAGTATGTTAATGATGATTATGTAAAAGAGGATGATGTAAATGATGATGACATAAAAACATCATGCTACTCTGATGTCAGCAAAGCAAAGAGAAACAAATATCAGAGATAGTAGGAACTGCAGATGCTGGAGAATCTGAGACAACAAGGCATAGAGCTGGATGAACACAACAGGCCAAGCAGCATCATTGGAGCAGGAAGGCTGACGTTTCAGGCCTAGACCCTTCCGAAACATCAGCCTTCCTGCTCTTATGATGCTGCTTGGCCTGCTGTGTTCATCCAGCTCTACGCCTTGTTGTCTCAAAGAGAAACAAGTGTTTGAGTCTTGAAAAGGAGCAGAAGAGAGACTGTACTCAGGAAGAGCATTCAGTACAATGTATACCATATTATAATTAAAATGTTTATCATATTACAGATAATGAGAGAGATTTAGGAGTGTTATGATCCCAGATTATGTTATTCTTGGACAGGTAGGATCTGGTTTGATCAAAACCCACATGCCACTAGTTCACAATCCAAGCTCAAAAGTAAATGACATATATATGATAAAGAAAGAGATGCAAGTACTCAGAGCAGTAGCAGTCTGACAAGACAGTACAACCTCTAAGAGTGCAATGTGGACAAACAATGCACTAGAGTATCAAAGGTGCAGATAGGGTGAACCAGATAGCCTCAAGTCTGCAGGAGAAACAAATCCTTTTGCTTAGCTACAGCAGTGCAAAGCATGGATACCATAGATTTCTCTCAAACTATGGTGGCAACATGGGAAACTTCAATATCACTGAATTAAAATCAGATCATTGTCCACAATGCAGAAAAAGCCTCCACCAGGCTGAACAGAAAGTCAGAAGACTTCAATGGCAAAACAGTAGAAAGTGAGATCCAGGACAGCATCAGAGTTGCACACAAAATAACAAAACCATCAGGTTAGTATGTTTCTGCATGCAGTTGAGCCTGAAGCCAATTATGTCCTCATGAAGCAGGGTGTAAAAGAATGTACTATTGAGTTTGAATCTTTAGTCAAGACATTTAATGAGTATTTCATTATCTACGATGGAACAGATAAGATTTAACCAAAGGTTGCAGAAACAGGTGGATTTGATTGAATCACTTTTAACAACTATAGATAAGTGGATTGCTGTGGATACAGAGCTCTTAAAACTGGGATTTTAAGAGATCCAAGTGGACTCTTGTGGTGCAGTGGTAAGCTTGGATTCAAGTACCACTACTCCAAAGTTGTGTAATAGCATCCCTGAACAGGTTGATCAAAAGAGATCAGGTCATCGTAGGCATCCAAGATGAAAAACTGTCCTATTTTCTTCAGTCAAAAGAGGAGCTCATGCGACTGATGCAATATTCTATGTAAGTTAAGCTTAGTGCCCAGAACTGATCAATTGTCAGAAATAACAGAGGCATATTCCTATGCAGTACCCCAAGATAATATCGTTACCCTCCAGAAATCTCGACAAAATAGAAAAAGAGGATGAAACAACATCATCATTCATATCAGGATTTGCAAAACGTTGTTCAAAGCAACATCACGAATACAATAAGTGTCCAGCAGGGGGAGCTGAGTGGTAGCAATGTGGAAAAATAGGGCACTCAGAAGATATTGCAGCAAACCTTGTTTCACCGCAAAAGCCCCATACAAAAAATCCTGAAAAGGAAAATCATTTGCAAAAGACAGGATCTAAGAGATCAAAGATGAAGATCAGCACAGCAAGCTAATATTTTAGGTGAATTCAAAAAGTGCCAGAAGAGGATCAGGACTATTATCCTAAAAGTAAAAAAGTTAAATTAATAAACCAAATACAAATTTTACAATATTCGCTATCAACTTAGCTCAGTTAAAACTAACAATGTTCAACCTATAAGCAGCAAACTGCAAGCTTCAAGGGGCACAGATCTTACATGTAAGATCCAGAATAAGATCCAGGAAATCAATTATAATTGCTGACATCCTGTCCAGAACGTAGAGAGAACCAATTAGAAATGAAAGATAATATTGACAAAAGGTAGGAGAATGAAAGCATGGGGGTTAATGTTTTATTCTTTATTTCCCCCTTTTGAATGAACTGAGAATGAATCTCATTTTATTCATCATGTAAGGAAAGTGTTATGATAATAGATCATAACCCCAAATTATATACATATTGAACTTTTAAACAAAAACCTACAAATCAAGAATGGCTGAAGGGGTAAATCCTGAGACTGGAATTCACTGACGGCTGACAGTCCCTGAACGAAATAATGCCTGTGCAATGTCAAGAAAACTTCAAATAGAGAGACTTAAAAGGAAGAGCTGCAAGCCAAACACTGATTATCTGTCTCAGAAGGAAATTCATTTCTTGTGGGTTATGTCTAAGACTGTGGACATGAGTTGAAAGGCACATTTGTGTTTTACCCTCTCAGGTTTAACACAAGCACAGCAGTTTAAAAATTTCTAGTCTCAGTGTGATAGGTGTTTATAGATTAGTATGGACTATGAAGGTTACAGCTTGAGCTCAGACACCTGCACAGCAGGTAAAAAAGGTATTCTCTATTGGTCTGCATGTTGGAAGCTAAGTAGGCCAGGGACGTCAATACTGAAAAGGGAACAAAACAAAAGCCGATCAGCTAATTTGCAGAATCAATCATCTGAAAGTCAGTTGCTTTGCTATCAATATCAGTGTCATCAGTATTGTCCAAATTGACAGCCAGAACATTCCATCATTTACTTTTCATGGAACGCAAAGATTGATTTGTTTATCTTCTTAACTGATTCACTCATTTTCATTCATTTCACATTTCTAACCTGTGTATAGATGTGTTGTATTAAGTACTGACTTTTCTTTAATTGGGCTCCTTTTAAAATATAAATATGTTTGGATTGGGAAAAGGTATTCACTAAGGGAAGGGATCCTATTTAAATTAACCTTATGGCAGCCAACTGAGACAATGGTTGAATTGGAAGGGGAACCTCCTCACCAGGGAACATAACCATTCAAAGGATCCCACCTGGAATCATAACACACTGGGGACTTCCAGCCAAGCAGATTTTCGAAATTAAAAGTGAGTAACAGTTTTTTGGTATACACCTCTAGATTACAAGTCAAGATTCTTAACTACTTTCATCACCCCATTTGGACAATTTTTTTTCAATCATCTACCTTTTGGAATTTCATCAGCACTGGAAATCTTTCAGTTTGTGATGCCACAGATTCTTGAAAGAAAGCAATGTATAACCTGTTATATGGATGAGGTACTAGACCATGGCAGACCAGAAAAAAGCATAACCACCGAGTCAGGGAAGTCTTAAGAGCATGACATAATGCCAGCCTTATACTCAATGAAAAGTGTCAATTCTTCAAGACAGAAATCATGGTTTTGGAACACATGACTCGAGAGCATAGCATCACAATGGATCCCAAAAAGACAAGGGTTATAATTGAGTTCCATAATGGAAACACATCAACAATATTTGACACTTCTAAAGAATGGTAAACCAAGTAAAGAGTTCACTTCTACCCTAGCCAGTCTTGCACAATTAAGAGAGTTTCTAAAGGAAGGCCAACAATGGTACTGGAGTTTGAGGCCGAGTACAGCTTGTAAGAAGATTAATAAATATTCTCAGACATATTATTCAATACAACCCAGGATTACCTACAATAGGATTAGGTGCAGTTCTCATTCAAGTTCAGCATGATAGAAGCAGGAAACCTGTATACTTTGCATCACGAGCATTGACAGAAACAAAGCAGGTATATGCTACCATTGAGAAAGAGGCATTAACAATCACACTTAGATGTGAACACTTCTTGGTTTGTCTTAGGGGTTTAAGATTTCAGGTCAAAATAGATGCAACCACTATGGAGAATCAAGAAGAAGTGAAAATGCCATTGAGAATATGGAGATGCAGATTAAGGTTAATGATATATGACTACATAACAATCTATATCCCAGTTATGGCCCAGGTTACAGCTGATGCAGTATACAGAACAATAATGGATCGGACTGAGAAAGAAACTTTAATCGTCAATGATGAGATGAAATAATTTGCCATTGGAATTACAAATACTTGGCCATCCACAGAGATGAAGAGAAATTTGTGCGGCTCAGAAAGTAGATAAGGAGTGCACAGGATTCCAACAACTTGTCTGGAAGGTTGTTCCAGATATTGTTCAATAGACCAAGCCCTAAAGAAGTCACATGAACAGGAGAGACATTTAACAATAGTAGTTGACCTACTAATCTCTGACCACAGGCTGATTATACCAGAGTTCATGAGGGATGAAGTCCTAAAATGACACAATGGAAGACAGCAAGGAATCACTAAATGCTGAGCATATTCTCAACAGTTTGCATGGTCTCCAGGGATTTCAAAATCAATAAAGAATTTTATGTAATCTTGACATACATGTTGCATCAATAGCCAATACCAATGGAGCCATTACTGTCTCCAACACTTCTGGATAGACCTTGGCAGAGGCTATCATTAGATTTATTTGACTTCAGATAGAAGATACATACTAACCAGATATTAGCAATGCACACCAAAGAGAAACATGTGATTGAGACTCGAAGAGGAGCAGAAGATGAAATTGTACTAGCAAGCTACATTCAGTAAAACGTGTACCATAGTCTAAATAAAGACTTTACAGTATCACTGCAAGTGAGAGGGCCTTCATCCTAGTTATGAACAAACTAGAGGTACAACTCTGAGCAGTATCAATGCAACCTCTAAGAGTGCATTGCAGACACCCATAATGGAGAGAGTGTAGAATTGATGAAAAGACAACCAGTTTTGTGTCTGTGGAAGAAATATGATCCATAGACTTAGCTACAGCAGTTCATAACATGGTTACTGCAGAGTTCTTTCAGAGCATTTACTGCAGAAAAACAATATTGATTTAAAAACTTGAAACTCCTAATATTCACAAAATATTCAACTTGTTACTTACTGTTCTCACTTCTCGAATGAATGTTTGTGGTTGAGACTCCTTAAAAGGAAAGAGACATATTAACTGAGCAGTGAAATGAACATTGTCATATTTAATTTACATGCAGTATTTTTGCTGATAGGCAGATAGTCTACCTAGAATAGCCATGCAATACCCAGCCTGTTACAAAGCATTCAATAAACTCACTTTTTATTGCCATGTGGCAATTCTTTTTTTACTGAGCATAAAGCAGGAAACTTGGCTGACATACTATTATTCTTGAAAACCTAGGAAATTACCTATATTTAAACCTGAATAAAAGGCTAATGAGATGAAATTGTAGTGTGCTTTATCATCAACAAAGAGTTGAACATACTGTACAAGTTCATTTGACTGGATGGCTGGTTTACAACAAAGAGTGATGCCAACAGTATGTACTTAATTCCTGCACCAGCTGAGGTAATTGTGCAAGATTCTCCTTCTCAACCTTTGCCATCACCTTAGGCATGATGACACTCGGAAAAACCGCCACCAGTCATTTCTCTCTCTCTCTCTAATAAGAGAGTTGCCCTAAGGTCTGGTAAGACTATGGCTACTTTATAACGTCTCCGTTCATTCCCTTAATGAAGACACTAACCTGTTGAGAACAGATGCGCTATCAAGGTTTTTTAAAGTTGAAGCCTAGGGAAATTTCATAATGTAGCACTGAGAATTATTTTAACAATGTTAGTGTTTGGGGTTGAGTAAAGTCAGGTCCTCTATATTTGTTAGTAGCATCAGGCAGCACTATTTCAACCCATATGTTTGATTAAGCTCAAATTGAAACATTTGATCTCAAGATTCTGATAATAAATGTCACATCAAATACATTTACTTATATATCTCTGAATTTCTAATACTTTTGGCATGCTTCTTTTTCTGCTCTGTATCATGTCAATAAGATTAGCCTTTGCTTTGAGCAAGGCGATGGTCCAAGAAAATGTCTAGTATTCCAGGTTCTGAGGGCATGGGTTCAAACCCTACCACAGCAGCTGGTGGCATTTAAATTCAATGGATAATTCTGGAATGTAAACCTATTCTCTATAATAGTACCATGAAATTATTAATGATTGTTGTTAAAAATTCATTTTATCCACTAATGCGCTTTTGGGAAGGAAGTCTGCCATCTTTACCTGGTCTGAGTTCAGATCTACTATAATGTGGTTGACTCTTAATTAACTATGATCTGAAGTGGTCTAGCAAGTCACTCACTTTGATGACAATTAGGGTTGAACAACAAATGGTGGCCTGTCCAGCAATGTTCACATCCCATGAAAGAACTAAAAAACAGATGTGGACACTATACCTGAAATTGTTCATCAGCTTTAAAGAATAACTTTTCCTGTCTGAATTGTTTTTTTTAAATTATTGAAACGTTGTCACCATTATCCAATTAATTTTGACAGTTCTGTACAGTTCTTTTTTGTTATTCTTAAGTCAATACCACAAACAAGAACAACAAAAATGTTTGATATTAATTATTCTGTGAATTATTTGATATAATTTAAGAAAAATTGCTAAGCTGCAACAAAGTTGCTTGCAAGTACATTGTGTATAACAGGAGCAACTGTGGTAATTTCAGACTTGGTAAAGACTACATTGTACATTTAAGCAGGTCAGATATGTAAGAGTGAACCAGAAAGCAAAGTAAGCAATAATGCACACATCTTAAAGTCTAGGAAAAAAATTCTTCAAATGAATTCTTCTACAATACTTCAAACTAGAATCTTGGTCTCCAGCAAGATAATCCATCAACCATTATCCATGCATCTTATTGCGAAGCCATAATGCTGCTCAGCAGACACAATTCAATGCCTGCAAATGTTTTCAATCCCAAACAGATTGAGCTTCCAAATGTTTTAGTGGATTTTTAAAGAAATCACAAATCATGCCTTCACTGACACTTACCCAGTTTGACCAGCACCGCATTACAATGTGGCACTCATGAGAGAATGTTCACTATTAAGGTATGTGTACAGTGGAAGTGTACTACCTGACTTTGAACCAACATCTATCAGTTGACATGAAGATCACTGAAGTTTGCTATGCTGTGCATCTCTCAGATTGAACTCTTAGCCACACTATGGCATTATATCATTCAGTGTGTTTAATCCTTCTTATTCAACTCTCTTTCATTGGTTTTCATAGGCTGATTGCTCCAGGAGTAAAGGCTGATTCAAGTAAATTCCAATTCTTTCACAAAAATGATTTAAACTCCAACATTCTGTACTTTCATCTGAATTGGGAATTGGTTTGAATTACTCACAGGAAAGTTGTGATGATGATAGTAATTAGTAAGTGACTTGGAAGCGCATTTCAACGTGGTAACTTAATTCTGTACACAATCTGTTCTTTTAGTGGCTAATTTATTCATCTAGAAAAGCTAAAGTTTGACTCGTGTTGTGTATCAGTCTGGTGACTTTGAAGATCAGCAAAGTATGTGGCATCAGGTTTCAATCTGATAGCATCTGAATCGCACATATCAGTAGCAGCCTGCTTAACTGCACACCTGAGTTTCTCAGGAAAGGATAATGATAAAACAACTAACAGCAAATTCTCATGCAAATTGGCAATTTTGGCTTTTTTCAGCTGGACAATTCAATACAGCCACTATTTTTATCTCAACAGCACACATAACCAACTGTTTCATGCATGCCTGTAACATATTGGGTACAGGCAATTACCTTTGTTACCTCTGTAACCTTTGTAATCTCTTTTCCCTTTATCACCTTTTCACCTTCATATGTATGGTACTACAATAGGCCAAATCCCACAAAGAATCAAAGACAAAAAAAATTATCACATTGTCCCACAATTTTCCAACTCTGTGCAAGTCCATTAAAAGCCTTCAAGATTGATTTATTGTAATTGATATTCTTCGTATCGCCTGGGGACACTTGCATTGCATTGTGTCAATTTACAGTTAGGATTATAGGGTCAATAGTAGGCCATCCAATCCCTTGAACCTGTTCCATCAATAGGTTAGTGCAGTTGTGTCTAAACTCTGCTAACACACCTTTACTCCACATTAATGAGTACACTTGTCTGATAAAAACTCTTATTAATTTCACTTTTATCATTTTCAGTTGACCTCAGCTCAATGGACTTTAGAGGAGAGCAGTCTAGATTTCCATAAGAGATAGTAGGAACTGCAGATGCTGGAGAATCTGAGATAAAAAGGTGTAGAGCTGGATGAACACAGCAGGCCAAGCAGCATCAGAGGAGCAGGAAGGCTGACGTTTCGGGCCTAGAACATAGAACATAGAACATTACAGCGCAGTACAGGCCCTTCGGC